GCCCCGAGTTTAGCCCAGAGAGGGCTCCAGTCCCCGAGTTTAGCCCAGAGATGGCTCCAGACCCCGAGTTTAGCCCAGAGAGGGCTCCAGTCCACGAGTTTAGCCCAGAGAGGGCTCCAGTCCCTGAGTTTAGTCCAGAGAAGGCTCCAGTCCCCGAGTTTAGCCCAGAGAGGGCTACAGTCCCCAAGTTTATCCCAGAGAAGGCTCCAGTCCCCGTGTCTAGCACAGAAAGGGCTCCAGTTCCCATGTCCAGCCCAAGGAAGGCTTCAGTCCCCAAGTCAAGCCCAGGGAGGGCCACTGTTCCCGAGTTAGGCCTACGGAGGGCCTCTGAAGACGATATTCTCCCCAATTATTTTTTTGGGGGGGTAGTATGTGTCCGACCGTAGTGGCCGGGCCAAGTGGCGAGGCCAAGGCCACGGAGGCCGTCCAGTCATGGCCTTCTGGGTTCCCTGCTCCGCCGTGGCCTCCTGAACTGTCTGATCCGCCAAGGCCTTCTGAGCTGCCTGCTCCGCCATGGCTCCCCGAGCTCCCTGTTCCGCCATGGTCTCCCGAGTCTCCTGATCCGCCACAGCCTCCTGGGCTCCCTGCTCCGCCATGGCCTCCTGAACTGCCTGCTCCGCCATTGCTTCCTAGTCTGCCTGCTCCGCCATGATTTTGGCCCTGAGCTCTCTGCTCCGCCATGGCCCCTGAGCTCCCTGTGCTGCCATGGCACCCTGGACTGCCTGCCTGGAGATATTCCCTGTGTCCCAGTCCTGCACCAGCCTCCAGGGCGCCCACCCCCCCTCAAAATGCGCCTTCCAGGAGGGGGGAGTAATGTCAGACTCTGTTCCGTGTTTTGTGTGCGTTTTCCTCCCCCCACATGCTCCATTTGTAACGGGGCGACAGGGACGAGAGACGTGCAGATCCATTTGCAAGCTTTTATTCAAAGACGTGGTCACAAAACAGACAATGGCGAACAGGTATGTTGTAGGCAAGCCAAAAGAGTAATCCAAGGACAGAGACGTGGTCACAAAACAGACAATGGCGAACAGGTATGTTGTAGGCAAGACAAAAGAGTAATCCAAGGACAGGCGTGGGTCAAATGACGGCGAACATAATCCAGAGGGCGAAGCAAACGGGTAATCCAACAGACAGGTTATATTCCAGGCAAGGTGCAAACATAGTCCAAAACAGCAAGACAAAGGGATAATCCAAGACAGGCTAATAATCAGGAAACAGGCAATCAGGAAACAAGACATGGCTAGACTAAGACTAAGAACTGAGACTGGAAACTAAGACAGGAAAACTAAACTTGCTCCGTAATGTAGCTATCGCTAGGAGAATGATAAACGCTAAACAATACTCGGCGATCTGAGCAGGAAGTGAGTGGGTGTTATATAGTGTGTGTGATTGGTCTTTTGTGACACCATGTCTATTTCATGCCCATATTTGGTCTTTCCTGTTTCCAGTTCCTATTATGTTTATTGATCCCAGGTGTTTCTCGTCATCCCCTCATCATGTCTTGTGTATTTAAAGTGTTTCCTTTTCTTAGTTCCTCGTGCTGTCTTAAACGTCTACTCCTCGTGCTGTGTGTGTGTCTCCTGATTCCCCTGTGTTTTCTAAAGTTCGGATATAATAAAGTGTATATATATACATACATTCATATTTGTGTACTTTGATGTTGAAAACCCCTTTGAGTGCAGACTGTGGAAAGGCTTGGCTTGTAATTATGAACCAAGAGACAATCCATACTGAAATCATCGAGCGACCTTGAGTGACGTGTCAAGTGATATTACGTGGGTGGGTGAATGTGTCAAATTTTGTGTGTGTGTGTGTGTGTGTGTGTTTGTGTGTGTTGTATGAGTGGGTGAAGCTGCTGGCTGTGAGAACATTCATCAAATTGACATGAAGCCAAGAGAATTAAGGGGAGAGATTGGAATGGATACACTTAAAAAAACATATGTGGTATTACAGTGACTTTTTCAGAAAATTATATTACAATGATTTCAACCAATCCATTGAATCATTAGATACATCACAGTGTGTTTCGAATGATGATGTTGCTGGCGATACCCAGCCCTAGTAGAAATGTGGGTCACTAGCAGCCTGAAGTATTACTGTGGTCACATGTCCATCACAATGGCTGCTACACACCATCAAGAACAGCTGCCAGGCCACCAAAATTCTCCTTGTCTCCATAGCAACCATGTCTCCTGACAACAACAGAGCTCTGGAAATGTAGTAGTGTAAATTGTTCCCTCACAGTGAGCTCAAATCCCAAAAACCACTGAAGGCTTAATCGCAAGGCCTCGACTGACAGTTTTCTAAATGTTTGCTTTACTTTATTAGAACGGTGTCCTATACTGCCTCCAAACAAACAAAGCCAACACGTGGGCAAGTGTGTTTACTGAAGGAAGCGATAAATCGCACTGAGCAAACAAGATTACAGTTCTTACCACAGCAGTGGACGGGGAAAAATTATAAATGAATGGCAAAGCGACAAGCAAATATTGGATTTGAAGAACAAAAACTTGACTAAATTTTTTATGACAGCAGAGAAGAAAATCAAATGCTGTTTGACAGATTTGTTGACTTTTCAAATATGGAATGGGAAATTTTAATTATTGATGGTGAGTTATGTAAACAAACGCTATTTACAAGTTGTTTATTCATTGCCAAAAGTGCATTAGTGACAGTCCTAAGATATTAGCCGAGTTCTGAAAAAAAAGTGTTGTCTTTTGTTCCTAGTTTTAATCGTTGTTTGTTTGACAAACGGGAGTCGGGTAATCTCAAAGTAGTTGTATTTTGATCAGCAAAGCATGCAAATTTCATCCGGCTGTCAAAGAAGGGAGGGAGAAACATGGCAAGTGTCTGTATAAAATTCCCCAATACAGTGTGTTAATTACATGATTTTCAAGAATTTCAATCAGCCAAACATCGACTATAATAACGGTTAGTTCACTCAAAAATGACAATTCTTTCATTTACTCATTCTCATGTTTCTTCAATGAAAGAATAAAGGAGATGTTTTACAGAATGTCCATGCTGCTCTTTTCCGTACAGTGAAAGGAATAAGACCTGTGACTGTCAAGTTACAAAAAGGACAAAACAGATAAAATAATAATAAAAAAAAATAAAAGTTATATTGTGAAGTATTACATATTATATTTTTAATATATTTTAAAATCTTCAGTGTCACATGATCCTTCAGAAATCATTCTAATGTGCTGATTTGCTGCTTAGGAAACATTTCTTATTATTATTATCAATGTTAAAAACAACATGCTGCTTAATATTTTTGGGGAAAGCATATTTTTCAAAATAGCTGCAAATATTTGAAATAGAAATCTTTTAATTATTTATGTTTTATCTGTCACATTTATAATTATATTGATCAATTTAATAAGTTCTACCTGAATAAGTGTTAATTTTTCTTACTAATACAAATGTTTGAATGACCCCCGTTTTTCCCTCCTTGCCCCAATCCAGTCTTCTTCCTTCCACCCATAATCTGCTTTCCAAAAGCTTAGTTCGTTTAAAGGAATGTCCAATTTAGGACATTCCCCTTGAGTGGGTTTCCATTCTCTAGAGGCCCAGGATCTTACTGCCAAAATAGCTTTTTTTCCAGCCTGTTGGACCTCTGCTCAACCAGAGCCTGGCATGAGCGTCCAGCTTCCCTTTCATTTTTTTTTCTTCTCCTTTAAACTCATCGCTTCAGTCCCCTGTCATCCTACTCTGGACAAATCAGACCTTGACAAAAGTTATTTCATCCTCAGAGCCATAAAAGCCTGGCTTTTTGATGCCTTGGAATGTCTCGTAAATAATGCTTAAGTGAATTGTGTAAGCAAACAAAATAGCAGAAATAATAACTGTTTTTGAACTGGATTCGAACATTCTGGATAGTTGGATGGATGGATGGATGGATGGATGGATAGATAGATAGATAGATAGATAGATAGATAGATAGATAGATAGATAGACTAGTTCAGATTTGAGTGTTTTCAGGGCACGTTCTCAATCTTGGCATCTTCAGATCAAAGAGTCAAGCTGTATTTGAAAAAGGGAGAGTGAGAGAAATAGGGGCCATATTCATCAGTAGGTGGGTGAGGCTTAAAGGAGTGAGGAGGGAAAAATATCTGCCCTTTATTCTGTCAACCTCTTTGTTCTGTCACCCCCACCGGGAATTCTCCTATTCATGAGCTGCTTGCTTTTAATGTAAAATAATCCTCTCAATTAGGTATTAGTGACATTAATTGGCCCCAGTGTAATTGTCCCTTCACAGATGAGAGCTCCCAGCATGCCCATGAGGAGGAGAGAAAGAGAGCTTGCTTGCCATTCTCCCCCCGCCTTGTCCACCATACCATTGGACCAAAGCCAACAACAACTCGCAAAATCACTTTAAGACTCTGTTAAGCTTTGTCAGCAGTGAGCCAAGCCAGGTACCAGAGTACCTGATGAGAAAAACCAAGATCAATCAAGGAGACATTACAATGAGAAGAGATATGGGGAAATTAGTGTTTAATTATAATGCATTTTGAAGACTGTTTGGCCCAAACTTTAGTCAACACTCATGCAACCCTGTAGCTATAATATCACAAAGTGGCTTGGGGAAAAAAAATGGCTGGCACACATGCACACTCTAAATCTGCATTATCAGAAATTTTTATGTCAACATTTTTGAGTTTGTATTCATGCCAGAATTCGAAACATGCTAATAAGCATGTTTATGAAATATTTTTGCCAATTTTATAGTACTTTCTGTTACCAGTCAGAGTAGTACTCTCTTTATATCTGCATTTTAATTCTTAACGTGAAAGTATCGAAAGTGTAGGTATTTTGTGGGCATGCTAATACAGTGTTAACATTCAGTTAGGTCTGTCTGGATCTCCATATTATCCACTAGTACCTAAATTCACATCGCAGCAATAAAGATTCTAGTGCATTGTGCCAAGGGGTGAAGGTATTAAGGTCTCTAAATCCTTGATCGTCCCCCCGCATTGACCTGTGTGTGCCTTTGGGATTACCAGCCATGTAGAACTAGTTCTCAGCTCTGATCTCAGCATGTTCCGGGGTCAGAGGGCTCTGCACATTCAAAATGAGCCAAAAACTCAGTATGACATGTCATTCAAACAATGTAGTGGGCTTTGAACTTCATATGCACCTCAAGTGTCATTGTTGTCCTCCTCCTGCAAATACAGTGTAAGCTATCTACCCCTCAATAATTCCTTCCTTAAAGGCATGACAAAAGATTATATCAAACTGAGAGATATCAAACTCTCATTCTTTTTGTTTTAACAAGCAGCAAACAAAGAAATCAGTCAATTAAAAAGCTTGTGTCCTTTACAGGTATGAAGATGAAAGTAAAAAAAAATAAAATAAGTAAAGCATAGAGTTTCAGAGACGACGGTAGATCCTATCAAATTCATGTGTAGAATTCAGAGGCCTAAACTTCCTATCTTCCTTTTTTTGGTAGGTTCATAACAGGAACTTGTTATCCATGGATTTTGACCGTGTAACCAGGACCGAGAAAGTCTATGACGACCACAGGAAGTTCACCTTGAGGATCCACTATGACCATGCTGGAAGACCTACTTTGTGGGCACCAAGTAGTCGGCTAAACGGTGTCAATGTTACCTACTCACAGGGCGGCCACATCGCCGGCATCCAGAGGGGCACTATGTCAGTCCGAATGGAATATGACCTAAATGGGAGAATCACCTCAAAGATATTTGCAGATGGAAAGACATGGAGCTACACCTACCTTGAAAAAGTAAGCATCTTTATCTAGAAAATAATGAGGTTGAAAAATAATCACTAGTTCTCTGTTCTGTAGTGATCTCTTTGTTGAACCCTGTTAATTTGTTACATTAATAAGCTATAACCTTGCGTGCTTCAGCAATGATCCCTGTGTAATATACTGCTTGTGTTATGCATTGTTACCACATGCAGCCTGACAACAAACTTGGTCCTAAAAAATCACTGAAAAACATAAAATATTGTTATTTTATTTAATATAAAAGTCTTGTTAATTAGAACCAATATCTGAGAAATGTAAGACCTTACCATGTAATTCAAAATACCTCTGTTTAGAATACTGAAATGATGAGATACCAATATATGGGTTTAAAAGTATTCATAAACCCTAAATTCACTCTCTTTAATGTTTCTTGCCATTCTAAAATGACCGTGTGCTGCTGAGATCAGTAGCCTCAAAGGAAAAATAATAAAAAAAAAATAAATCAATTTAAAATAATAATAATAATAACAAGAGCGGCTTCCTGTTGAAATATAAACTCCAGAATATCCTCCCACTGTCCTCCATATAAGGTGACATTATTAAAAATGGTATCAGGGGAGGGTGGGGGTATGATGACTTAATCCTCATTAAATGAGATGTTGCCCTTCTTCATTTTTCAGTCAGTGTTCTAAAGCAGCATATTTGTAATTTTTATGCACCCTGAAGTGATTCTGTGACACCCTACAGTTTGTTGTGCATTTATTCATGTGGTGCAATGTGACTCCTGGGTACTTTGTGACCTTCAGTTTCACTGGGTGGAGAATTTCACATTTAACAGTTTGAAGTGCTCTCAGAATGTGTTGGGAATTACTGTGCTTCATTAAATCAGCTTACTGAGCATCGTTTTGTCATTTTCCTTTGACAGTCCATGGTGCTGCTACTATACAGCCAGCGACAATACATCTTCGAGTTTGACAAGAACGATCGCCTCTCTTCAGTAACCATGCCCAATGTGGCCAGGCAGACCTTGGAGACCACCCGTTCCATCGGTTATTACAGAAACACGTACAGGCCACCTGAGGGCAACGCCACAGTTTTGCAAGATTACAGCGAAGATGGACTGCTTCTGCAAACCATCCACCAAGGAACGGGGCGCAGAGTCATCTACAAGTATGGGAAACTCTCCCGTCTGCTGGAAATCCTTTATGATACAACTCGGATTGCCTTTTCTTATGATGAATCTGCAGGCATGCTGAAAACGGTGGGGCTTCAAAGTGAAGGCTTTGCATGTACCATACGCTACAGACAGATTGGACCGCTCATCGACAGACAGATCTTTCGTTTCAGTGAGGAGGGCATGGTGAATGCCCGGTTCGACTACAACTACGACAACAGCTTCCGGGTCACCAGCATGCAGGCGGTCATCAATGAAACCCCCTTACCTATTGACCTCTATCGCTACGATGACGTCTCAGGCAAAACGGAGCAGTTTGGCAAGTTCGGAGTCATCTACTATGATATTAACCAGATCATTACGACAGCTGTCATGACTCACACCAAACACTTTGATGCCTATGGACGAGTTAAAGAGGTGCAGTATGAGATTTTCCGTTCGCTGATGTTCTGGATGATGGTACAATACGACAACATGGGGCGAGTGGTGGCCAAGGAGCTTAAAGTGGGACCCTATGCAAATACCACCCGTTATGCCTACGAGTATGATGCTGATGGCCAACTCCAAGTGGTGTCCATCAATGACAAGCCTCTTTGGCGCTACAGCTATGATCTGAATGGAAATTTGCACCTCCTTAGTCCCAGTAATAGTGCCAGACTTACACCACTACGCTATGATATTCGGGACCGCATTACTCGATTAGGTGACGTGCAGTACCGGTTGGACGAGGATGGATTCCTCAGGCAGAGAGGCAATGACTTCTTTGAGTATAACTCTGCTGGGTTGCTTGTTAAAGCCTACAACAAAGTTAACGGTTGGACCATCAAGTACCGCTATGATGGCTTGGGCAGGAGAGTGTCCAGTCGAAACAGCCAAGGCCACCATCTGCAGTTCTTCTACGCAGACTTGTCCAGTCCCACCAGAGTCACGCACATGTACAATCACTCAAGCTCAGAGATCACCTCGCTCTACTATGACCTTCAGGGCCACCTCTTTGCCATGGAGTTGAGCAGTGGGGATGAGTTCTACGTGGCCTGTGACAACATCGGTACACCGTTGGCTGTATTCAGTGGTGCTGGTCTCATGATCAAACAGATCCTGCACACAGCTTTTGGAGAAGTGTATTTGGACTCAAACCCAAGTTTCCAGCTAGTAATAGGCTACCAGGGTGGCCTTTATGAGCCCCTTACTAAGCTTGTCCACATGGGACGCAGAGATTACGATGTTCTTGCAGGCCGATGGACCACTCCGGAGCATGATGTTTGGAAGCGACTCAACAGCAACAACATTGTACCCTTCAACCTCTACATGTTTAAGAACAACAACCCACTGAGCAACAACCAAGAAACCAAGTGCTACATGACAGGTAAACACATAATTTCTTATGAATCTTTTGTTGAAACACACAGAGGGTGACGTTATTTAATACATCCATCCATCTATCTATTATCCAAAACGCTTGCCCTATGTATGGTCACAGGGATTCTGGAGCCTATGCCAACACCTCAGGCCGAAGGCTGGGAGGGCTATTAAATAGCCTGTAAATAACTCCACTGTTACATTTTACCTTCAACAATCTAAAACACCATGAGCACCTGGTGCCAAGAATCCTGGCACTAGAGTGATTATTTTCAGGCTCTCGTCCCAGCCCCAGCTTGTGAGCAATGACAGCACAACAAAGTCCCCTTTGTTCTTCATTCAGGTTGTTCCTCTGAAATATCCCATCAGTCTTTGCTTCCCCAGCCTGTGCAGGAGGTAAATATTAGTGAATGCTCCCCAGTGTTAGACAAATAACACAAAGGAGTCCATGGAACTAGAAGCTAGGGGCTGAATCGCTATTCACTCCACTTGAAAGTGAAGTCGAAATCTTCAAAATATTATAGTCACATTTGAAGTCTATAACAGTGAATGCATGCTGGTTTTTGACTGAAATCAAAGCCTTGGTTCGTGCCCTTGCTATCAAAGGAAATGAATACTATAGAATCAAGATATTGGTTGTTTATGTTAGAGCAGCCTTGTTCTAGTGTGTTCCTCTGCATATTTCCTTTGCGTATCCTGTCGAAAAGATTTGTGGCGAGATGAGTCCTTGTTCTCTGATAATTCATATGCAACATTCATACACTTTATTTTGTATGAATTTATTTGGAGTGCTGCAGCAACCCTGCCCCTAACCTTTACCTTGGATGTAACAAAAGTGAACCTCTTGAGAATTTCCCAGAACAATTTTTGACTTTAATATAGCACCACTACAGAATACTATACCTGGTTACTTGTTTATGTTGTACATTGAATAGCAAATAACACAAATATACTGCTACACCAACTAGACCAGACCTAACCAGCATTTTCTAAACTAGCCTATGTTAGTTTTTGCTGGCTTTTTCAGAAGGATATAGCATATGTATGCAAATATTACTAGCCATATTTCAAGCTCAGCTAAACACCTAGCCGCTAGGCTGTAGCCTACATCATTATAGTTAGCTTTGAAGAAGAAAATCTAAAGATTCTGCTGGATATTAGATGTACTTGAGTGGGCTGTCAGCCTTTTATGAAGGATGGCATTGACATTTTCATTCCTCTCTGACAAACAGAAGGGTCCTTTCATTGTCCTTAATCACATTCATATTTAAAACAACTCTGTCAAGTGCCTTAAATAAAGGAGCAGTCGTAAGTGTGCACTTCATTGCTATAACAATGTCTCTTCTATCCATGACTAATGTATTTGATGTGGCATGGAAAAATCACTAAAAAGGCCATTTGATTTAGGTAAGGTTCATACTCTCTGTATATTATAATTTGATTCACTATCCATGATAATGCTTATGAATATGCACAAATACACAAATACATATTCTGATTATAGAAAGGGTGACACATGTGGTCACAGCATGATATATATGATTATCAAGCACACCAGCAGATCTCAGACATCAAGTTTCTCACATGCCGGATGTAATTTTATCAGTGTTTTGTGTGGACAAAGTGCTACAAATGATCATCTTTCTTTTGGGGGGGGGGAGATTTGCCACTTTCTGTGGAGGATTAATCATATTTAGTCCAGTCTCTGAAACTAGTGTTGCCTGTAATGACTGCGGGAGCTTATTTCAAGAAGGAGCTCACTTGGCATGTGTCCTGATTTGCAATGAATCATGCTTTTGTGGTGTAGTTCGCCCCAAATAGAGTAAATCGTTGTACAGGAATTATCAGTGAGTGCTGCAGTTACCTTTTGCTCTGCTGTAAGTGTAGTTCATCACAGCATTTTTCTTTCAACAGATGTTAACAGCTGGCTAGTGACATTTGGTTTCCAGCTATACAACGTCATACCTGGCTACCACAAACCTGTCACGGACACCATGGAGCCTTCTTACGAGCTCATTCACACTCAGATGAAGACTCAGGAGTGGGATAGCACCAAGGTAATTCGTCCAACAAATTTGTCTTTTTGTTTGCCCACCTCTTTAAAAACACACCTGGCCTTTGACTCTAACTTCAGACTTTATTTGCAGTACCTTTACCTTTCAGTTTGCCGCCTCCCAAAGGAGTTCACAGCAATCAACCCAGATGCTCGTGTGAATAAGCGCGGCCTCTGCTCTGGCTGCTCAAGGGGTCAAGCTAAAGAGCCCTTGTAATAGGACTGCCATTAGGGAAATTCAGTCCAAATTTCCTCCAGCAGCAGCCATTGATTTCAGCTCAGTCTTTCACACTCTTTAGCTCTCTAAAAGATGTTGTCTCCCTCTCTTTCCCTATCTTTATGCTTCTTTGTCTCAACGTTCCCTGTTTTTCTCAGTCTCAGACATGCACTGATTATCGAGCCTCCTTTAAGCCATCTGAATAATTGAGAAGCCAGTTGGACATGGTGGCGGCTCTTTTGGCTGTTGTTAAGGACGCCTTACCTCTTAAGCTGTCCTGGCTCAAACTAATGGTTCCTTCGAGAAGTAAATGTAGCCTTGGTGAGACTTCTTGACTGGGACTCAAATCGCTTGTTACAGAAGATATTCTTGTTACATTCATTCATATAATTCTAACCTAAAATTATGATATTGATTTAAAAAAATCTACTTTAACTTTATTTCACACCATTCATACTGTACACTGAAAAAAGTATATAAACAATTTTCACTCAGAAATTGCTAGTAAAGTTCGCAAATAATTACAAAGAAATGGCAGTTAAAACATTAAATTAACATACTTCAGTAATCTTTGTTTATTTACAACTTTACAAATATTTTTTACAGTGTAGTGGTAGCTATATATTCCTCTCAATAAATAAAAAAAAAAGTCCAAACTCAGAAAAATGGTAAAAAATTAGCTTTTTATTTGATCAAATTTATTTGATACCCATTTTTTTGGAAAATCCAGAAAAGATCATGAAAATATATATTGTGTTGATAGCATTTTATAAATTCGCTCGTACCGTGATTTTCTACTGCCCACTTCTATGAGCTATATGGATGTACAAAAGCAACTTAAACTACTTGAATTTTAAAACTGATAGGCTTGTATGGTAAGTCCAGTCCCCTTGATGGTAAGAACTTCCATTCCATGCTCCAAACAGTATAAGCAGCACAACCTCAAAGTATCAGGCACTATAATAAGCAAGCATTTGAGGCTGAGCGACATGGGTGAGCCTCAGACAGCTGAGATATGAGATTTTAAATGTAATGTGATGGAGCTATTTGAAGCCGTCAGCCTGGCAGATTTCATATGGCTTTCACACATTCGAGGAGAACCGAATTATCCCAAAAAGGACTTTCAAGTTTTAGACAACACAGATTTTGTTTTTATTTAGTTGAGTTGAGATAAAACAGTCTCTTTCAGAGAGTTCTGTTGGGTTTTGATGGCCATGCAGACTCACCTACCGACTGAATATCTCTGTTTTAGAAGGTATTAAACCAGACTTGTCCTAATGAATTCTCTTTTGGGAATCAATCATTATAATTTAATGAAGAGCAAACAGTCTCCTCTCATAGTGTGCTCTTGCATACAAAGCTGTTTAAATGGTCAGGGCGTGTATTTAAAACGTTTCCACCAATGCAAAACATAAAAAAATTAGGGCTCAGTTACTTGAAGTCTTTGGATCCAACCATCATCTCCATCAACAGAGTGGGAAATAAACTTTTCTAGTGTGACCACTTCTCAAAACCTGTGAAAAGTTAAAAGGTTTTTTTTTTAAGGGTTTTTTTTTCTTTGGGAGTGGTGTGGGCTGACTTGAAATCAACTTGGACACAATGCAAAGATGCAACGATGCACTCTGTTGGGCAGCAATCTCAACCCTCAAGGGAGACTCCCCCTCTGTCATGTACCTTGTAGGGTTCCTCTCCTGTGGGAACTTCAGAAGTGCATACAATACCTCTTGCAAGGCTGCTCTCAAAAGAGCCTAATTCAATTCCAAACCCTTGCTTGAATTTTCCATTTCAAATGTTCAATGTTTCAAATGTTACATTGCATATAAATGTATATATATTCTTTACGAGTACAAACTTTTGAATGTTTACTCTGAGACTGAAATTTTACTTTGGAAGTGAGACCGAAAAAGAACGATCTGTGTCCCACAGTCCTTTGCATAGTTACCCATAAATCAGCTCTTGCTGGCTCAACCCCACAAGCAGATTTTTCGCTTTTATTAGGGGGCAGTAAACAATTCTAATTGCCAACCAATTTGCTTTTTAGCAATGTAATTGTGGGGTCATGCAGGGTCTTTTAAAGCAGCTGCATTAAAAAAAAAATACTACTACTAATGGCCTTGGAGCTGTACTGCTGCTCTTTTGAGAGTCTAAAGTGGGTTGTTTATGCCATAATGCACATGTTAAATTTACAAGATCTGCAGTGCAGAATATCTGAAGGCATAGAGAAAATGACCCTTCATTACCAGTACCTATTTTTCCTCCATTTTTTTTTTTTCTGGCTGAAATTTCATATTTTGCAACTATTAAGAAACCCTACTACCTAGTACCTACACAAAAACAACTGTAGGAGTGATGCTAATGTGCGTCTTACAAAGAACATGGGTTATATTTCACTCCTAAAGTAAAAGAAAAACAAACAAACAAAAAAACAAGAAATTATATTCAGCATTTAAAAAATGAGTGTGACATTATTTTCATGACAATTAAGCATATTAATTCTCCCAAAGTTCTCATTGACACAATGTTATTACCAAATTAACATTCTGATTAAATAAAGATATTACAACCATGGTGTTTTAATTACTATTTACATTTTTATAGAGTTAATATAACAAAATATGACAAATTGATCACACTTTATTTTACAGTATGTGTACTTACAGTGTACTTATCCAAGAACGTACTGGGTAGTACAAGGTAACTACATGGGATCAGGTTAGGTTTAGGGGTAGGTTCAGGGTTAGTACATAGTTATTACCCAGTTATTTTAATTGCTATAATAAGAACATAGTATGTACTCACGGAACAGTACTGTAAAATAAAGTGCTACCGACAAATCTTTTATAATTTACTCAATGTAATTTATATTTATATTTATTTTTATGAACTAATCCTTGAGAATTTTGAGAAAAAAAGTGCTTAATTATCATAAATATGAAACCAAATACTGCCCCAATGGAATTAATGGCCATAAAGTTATGCTTTGTTGTCATTATACAAAATACAATTTAATATATAGAAATTAGCTTTTTTCCCTTTTGATTTTGGTGTGAAATATGGACTTTGGCTTTGAGATTCACCTGCTCAATCCTGTGTTCTTACTCTTAGCCAGCATTTCCTAATTGAATTGGAGTTTTTTGGATAGGAGTTCTGTTGCTTCTAACACTGAACATGATAGATTTAGTGCTCTGAACATTTCCAACAACAGTTGGATAGTGAGCGCTGACTTTTTGTCACTCTCTTTCTCCTTGTCATTAGGGCCTTTCGCACCGCGGGAACCTTTTCATAGTACCAGAACTAATTGTGGAACTACCCACTTTTTGGCGTTTTCGCACCGCCGGAACTGGGTGCAATTTTAGTACCGGACTGCCTTTTTCGAAAACCAAATTAGCTCCTACTCCGGAGCTTCTGGAACTAAAGCGGTGCGAAAGGCCCTATTTAGACTCCCAGGGTCTTAAAGACCTGTGTGGATGAAAAAGGATGTAAATGTGCTGGCTGATATCCACTGGATGTCCGCAGATTGATTTTGACTTTGATCAGAGCCCTGTGCTGATAGGCCTCCATGCTGTCTTACCACACAGTGCTATTTGAATGATTTTTTTGGTCAGAGAAAAGTAAAAATAGGTAGGTTGCAGCATAAACTGCCCTCACCATCCATTTTGTGGTGAGGTGAGCTGGCATATTTGCTTATAGTACTGCAAATGTAATGTGGATAGCAGCCAATATAATTCAATATTGAAGATTTCAAATCTGAGCACAGTTTGAGTCGTTGTTGAGATCTCTTCTGAAACTCTAGAGAAGGCACATGTGAGATTAGCGGGGTCTTTTAATCAGGAGAAACATGTGAGGAACAGGGAACTCCATTTGCTTTCCATTAAATCTCATCACTGTCTAGGAAAAGCAGTTGAGTCATTAAAGAGGCCTTTTGTTTCTTTTCAAGTTCAGTAACTTAATCTGTAGTGAAGGGCGACACTCAGAGAGCAAAAAGGAGGCAAAGGGAGAGAAGGGGACATATACTCTGAGGGAGTCATATCAGATAACATGAGAACTTTGTTTCAGTGCCAGAGCTTCAGCTGGACTCTGTTTCTCCTTCCGGACAGGAGCCCTGGAGTCTGACACCCAGAACACACTATTTCTAGGACTAGTACAATCCTAAAACCATCTGCACGCTTAGGTCCCTCATGGTTATCTAAATCTTCTCTTGGGGCGAAGGTTTCCCGTCAAGTCACATTAAAGAGAGGATGACTTATTACTGCATTACTGTTGGCCTAAAGAGAGAGTCTTGTATTCAGTTTTCCTCATGGGAACCTGTTTACTCCCTACAAACAAAAGTTATTCAAGAGTTGAATAGTCGGATCAGCACATTTAAAAGATCTTCAAAAAAAATCACCTGATCCACACTTCACACCTGAACATAAAATAGAATGGGTTATGCTATGTAGTTATATCAGGAAATGTGTAATGTTTGGAGTGTTAATGAAGCAGCCCGATTCTTGGTTGAGGGGAAAGTCGAGCAGCTGAACGTGGGGGTAGGATGAGTTTCCCGCTGAGATCACCCATCTTGCACAAACCATCAGGAAATGTTACTTACTCCCAGGAAATAGCAGTAGCGAAGGCGGTGGGCGCAATGACACCTGCCACTGGAAGAGATAACATAATGAATGTGAAAATCATATGCAAGGATGTACAACACACAGTGTTTTGCTGAGATGAAACATGTCATAATATGTCACAGTCAATCAATACCGCTACCAACCTCACTGTGGCCAACAGTAATTGCGAATGTTGTTTTGGAGATGCAATATCATACGTTTAATTTATTCACTCGATGAAAGTAGTCACCCATGATCAATGTGAAGAAGTTGATGCCGGGACACTCACAGGGTTTTGTTTGTCTTCTTGCAGTCCGTTCTGGGGGTACAATGTGAAGTCCAGAGGCAGCTGAAGTCTTTCGTCCGGTTGGAGCGGTTTCACCAGATCTACAGATCGAGTGATTCCGGTTGCCCTCAAACGCCCCTCCGCACGCTCTTCGCCACAGGGGCCTCGCTCTTCGGGAAAGGTGTGAAAGTAGCCATCCGGGAGGGCCGTGTTGCTGCTGACATCATCAGCCTGGCCAACGAGGATGGGCGGCGGATCGCGGCGGTCCTGGACAAGGCCACCTACCTGCAGGATCTACACTTCACCATCGCAGGATTGGACACGCACTACTTTGTCAAATCAGGACCGGTCGAGGGCGACCTATCTCTGCTAGGCATGACAGTGGGTCAGCGTACGCTGGAGACAGGTGTAAATGTAACTGTCTCGCAGGTCAGCACAGTCCTCAGTGGCCGTTCGCGCCGCATAACCGACATCCAACTGCAGTACGGTACGCTGTGCCTCAATATTCGCTACGGCAGCAGCCAGGATGAAGAGAAGGTCCGTGTGCTGGAGCTCGCACGTCAGAGGGTCGTCGCAGCCGCCTGGGCTCGTGAACGCCACAGACTCCGGCAAGGAGAAGAGGGCTCTCAAGCTTGGACAGACGGGGAGAGGCAGCAACTCCTGAGTACCGGACACGTGCAGGGCTACGAGGGCTTCTACATCGTATCGGTCGACCAGTTCCCAGAGTTGGCCGACAACGTAAATAACATCCACTTCTTGCGACAGACTGAGATGGGTCGCAGGTGACATGAATGCGAGGGGAACACGTGCTCGGACTCAGAGTCCAGGACTTCTTGCCAAAGACAAGTTGCTTTTGTGACCATATTATGTTACTTTATTTTTATGTTGACAGTGCCAGACTTATTTTTTTAAAACATGACGTACATGGTTGAAAACAGTTGCACTGTTTCGACAGCAGAGTGCCCTTCTCTCTTTTGGTAATTCTTAAACCCCCTTTGCCCTTCGTGTGCGGCTGCTAGAAGATGGCATATGGCAGTGTCGGTGGTTTATTCAGTTCTGGCTTCGAGTTTGTGGGTTTGCTCAAAGGAATATAGGAAGAAGGCTGGTAATGGATTATGCTCACTGGCTCAGCCTGCTCCCAGACAAGCAGATTGTTATTCACAAGCTTCACTCCACTCTGCCTTTTCCCGCGCCTCAGCCAAGGAGAGACCTCTTTTAATCGCTTCTTTTTATACTTGAAAGCCCACCGGCTGTGTCATACTTAAACTAAGGACATTGGTGTTTGCAGTGCATTGCTACCAGTTCAGATTCCTAGCTGAACCCATCTCATGTTGAAAACTTGTTGTGGTGTCTTGTAATATTTTGGGACTGGGTGGCTTGCTGGTAACATTCTTTTTTTTTTTCTTTTTATAATTTTGACCAAATGGCTTAAAACATGAATAGAAAGGGAAAAGAAGAATGAAGTATGCACACTTAAAATCTGGAAAATTGACAGAAATTTAGGAAACAAATAGGAAATAGGTAGCCCCAAGGTCTTTAAAGGTACTTTTGAAAATGAAACGACACTGATTGAAAGAAATTAGCTCCAAAACCTAGTGAGCTGCTTACCTAGACACCATTTAAGGGTCATTCTGATTTGACAGCTGTTCCAATAGGTAGTTAGATTTAGTTTTATTTGAGGCAGTGTCGCCTTTGTTTTGAAGGCAAGTAAAAAAAACTTGACAAGTTGAGAGAAATGTTGATTATACAAATTTTTATATTTAAAATTCCCTATTTTAAAGTATCAATAGTAGTAATCTGAGCTACTATTTTATGGACTCTTTAGCCAATATTTCTGTGCCGTGTATTCTTATGCTTATTAGAGTATCATGCATTTAGCATAGCAACATGCTAACATCAAACTCTATTACAATCAATTCTCCCATGTTATTTGTGCTCCGTGCGGAGATCCAGATTAATCACTTATGATGGTTCCTTCTTGTTAGGGTGCTGTAGGCGGTATACAGCAAGGCAGCTCGCTAGGTTTTGGAATGGAGCTACTGAGAGTATGAAAAGGTTGTTTTTTAATAAAATAGTTTGAGATCAACATGTTATTTCATGGTAACCTTCACATAAAACAGTATAACAATTGTGAAAGAATACAAAAATGTGAACATTTGTCCCTTTTTATTGCTAATTGTTGTACTTGAAAAATGCCTAGTGTTTCAACACATGGAATAAAGTCCAGAAAGGTTGGTCAATTCAATTAATTTGTTTTCATGGTTAAAACAAAGAGTTGCATATAGACCATTCCTAACAATGACAGTATTTATTTTAGTGCTGTGTTTTTAGAGGAGTATACATCCTCATGTTTGTCAGTGAAATAAATGCTTCAAGCGTAAAGCGGCATGAATGCTTAAAAAAAATGAAGCACATTACTTAAACGTGCACTCAGACTCCTTTTTTTAAAAGAAACTGCAAGCACTGCACATTGTGGTAAGGAAAGGTGACAACCCCTCTGAACAGCCTTTGCCCCAAAGGTCTCCCAAGCAGGGGCAATGTCGTAAGTGCTCTGAATGTGAAAGTCTGCAAGCTGCCTGAAATGCATTAAAGCCTAAATGTGCGTCGTTTAGAGGTTGAAACGCACATCAACCCACCATCTGGATACGAGAACTTCAAAGAGCATCTATATCTGGTTGGATGGTGTTAATATGTCGGACATGATGGCACATTGGCTCTTCACATTAGCGTTTGGTATATGAGTCTGCCCCTGCTGTCACTCTTGGGGAAATCACTTGGGGATGGTCACCAAGATGAATAGGTCAAGTGTTTTAAGCTGTATAATATTGTCGAGCATATTTTGGTTTATTTTACTGTCATTGAATGCAGTAAGATCATGAGTCTGACAATATCGCTGTATTTACAAAGAACGATGATGAATGAAGGAAAAAATGCAGCGTATTAAATTGCACTGACATGCATCGTAAGGCTTTTATTTTTTCTAAACTTTTGGACTCATTTGGACTTTTCGTTTGTTCTCAACACTGTGTTTCTAAATGCTTCTGTTTGAAAATGTAAATAAGATGACAAGAAATGGGCTGTAAATACAATGCAAATGTAGATACCTTTTAGAGCTACAGCAGTGAATCTGTGTAGTCTTTAGTTAAAGACGAAAAATAAAGAATATTTTGTGTTTACATTTATTTCACGTCATTTTGATTTGCATCATATTTCATTTTTAAAATATAACTTTTCAAACAGGTTTCCAGAATACTCCCGTTAGCCACTGGTTTGCACTGTTTAACTTATTTTATGTGAAAACAGCTCTATGGAAGCCCATTCTGGAGTACCAAAAAAAATCCTACTCGTATTTTCTTATCACAATTGGTAAATCACAATTGCAACTACTTGTAACTGTGACTTTATCTCCCAATTACCATTCTATTTTTAAGACTTCTATCCTCTTTGCAGTTTGATCAAATGGTGAGTCAAGAGAAAGATGGGCTAATATAATCACAGCTGATATTACTATGTCTGGGTTATTAGTCACACTAGAATATTATATTGAGTTTATATAACGGTTCAGGGTTCCACGCTGCACATGTAAACCAGACATTTTGGCAAATGCAGGTTGTCTAGATATTTCATGCACAACAGGTGTCGTGCCCAATTTCGACCCCCTGCCAAATTATTACCCCCCTTGTTGAAGTCACTACCTGATTGCCTAATCCTAACCCCTCCCCCACACCTACTCCTAACCCTACCAATACTAGGGGAGTAATAATCAGTGCTGTGTATTAATGGATTACATGTAATCTGGAGTACTCTATTGTGGCGCTTTTCCACTGCGTGGTACGACTCGGCTCGGCGCGGCTCAGTACGGCACGTACTGGCACTTCTTTTTATTTTCCACTTCAAGCACTGCATATTATTTATAAAATGTCAGTAAATAATACACAATTTATTGATTCTCCTTAATTCTTCATTTCTCTTATATCGTTTCCTTTCCAAAAATCCTGCTGTGTGTCATACCATTTAGCTTTGACCATACAGAATGGTCATGTAAATAATTTTGCGATCCATGATTCTGAATTTGAGGGCAAAAGCAATGGTAGGTTTAAAACAAGTTAGGTAAAAAAATATATATATATCTAAAAGTAATCTAAAAGGTAGTCAGAATACATTACCTAAAATGAGTAACCTAGTTTATGTTACTAACTACAATTTTTATCATGTAATCTGTAATCAGTAACGGACTACAATTTGCAAGTAATCTACCCAACACTAGTAATAATCTGGTGGGGGGTCAGAATTGGGCACAACACCGGCACTACCTATAGCAACCAATTGTAGAGCCACACTAGAGCCTTTTTAACGTTTCAAAAAAAGTACCTCAGATGTGTGTATCTTCTAAATTCTGCTGATGATAATATTTCTGCTCTAACATAACACTTAACTAAAACTAGAAATGTTGCTTTCACTTCCACTTGATTTGTGTATATAGTGCATATTTAAGGTAGCAATGCAATATATAATATCTTATTTTTAATATTAATAATATGACAATTTCTGTAGTCAATATTGATTAAATGCGAGGGGAAATTCTGCCCACACCCAGCTAGGAAAAAATGATAAAAGCACTGATGTTCATTTACTGAAGTGATATTTAGGAGCTGTGAATAAATTACTGAACAAATTACTGCAAAATAATAATAACAACAACAATAATAATATCACGGCTATAATAACATCCTCAACAAACAAAAAAGAGATTACCTTAGATGAAGTTTGATTAATATGTACATACTGTTCCAGTTAAAAGTTCGGACACATTACTATTTGTAATATTTTTGAAAGAAGGCTCTTATGTGCATCAAGCCTGCATTTATTTGATCAAAAATACAGAAAAAAAAAACAGTAATATTGTGAAATAGAAAAGTTTTAAAAGAACAGCATTTATTTAAAATAGAAATCTTTTGTAACAATATCGTTCGTGACACTGAAGACTGGAGTAATGACCGATGAAAATTCAGCTTTGCATCACAGAAATAGTTATTTTAAAGTATGGTAAAAATAGAAAACCATTATTTTACATTGTAATAATATTTCACAATATTACATGTTTTGTCTGTATTTCTGATCAAATAAATGCAGACTTCAAAAACAGTAAAAAATAGTAATGTGTCCAAACTTTTCACCGGTACAGTATAAGTAAAATATACAAATTTTAAAATTAAATGTTGTATAAATAAAAAGATTAGGAATCATATTTGTTTCAAGTGCTTTTTATTGGGGGCAGGGGATTTTGCATAGGGCCTCTAAATGTCTAGAACTGGCCCTGATTCCATGAATGCATATATTTGCATATTGTACATTTGCATACTATATACTGCATAACTAGTAAGAGTAGTGTTTCAGTATGCTACTCCAAACCAGTATTACAGTATTCACATCTTTTTTGTTTATAGTAATACTCCTGGATTACTTCGTTATTTTACCCAAGAGCTCCAGGTTGAAGGATTTTAGATGCATGCAAACATTATAAATCCAAATATCTGCATATGGTGCACAGAAAACATTTACACTGCACTGTAAAAAAAATTCCGTAAAATGTACGGTAAAAAACCGGCAGCTGTGGTTGCCGGAATTTTACCGTAAAAAATACGGTAGCAATGTTTTAGTTAAATTCACGGTCATTTTTTACAGTGTGTCTTATTCTATTTCGTGTCAATTTGCTTCTAAAGTGGAACTGCAAATTAATGCCTTTAATGTGGGATTTGACGTTAAGTGGTTCTGGCATCTAATTGTACATTGTGTAATGAGGTGTTTACAATTTTCGGAAGTTTTGCACAAGTGATTGAAATATTCATACACAGAAACGAGGTTCAGGAGGAGGGGAGAGTCTCACAAAACAAAATAGAGCACCACCAAATATTTGATATATTTATTAACAAATTTATGGACGATAACATGAAGCAATATATGTACAAATACAGTATTTAGGCACAATATTTTACACTGGAACAGATGCATTTTGAGTACATAAATGTACTTCAGAATGTCTGGATTAATATGTCTTGATACTTGACAGATACCCTTAAAATCTATATCTCTTATCTCAAGCTTATCAGTCCTGAAGAGAGGAGAGTATTTTAGACAAGTCAATAAATAAACAAGTGCATGAAAGAGCGTTACACTCGACAGTGGTGAGAATAGTAAATAATAGATTAATATCTTCAAACATGTCCAGCTATATACGTTGTCTCATTTGTTCCATGATTTTTTTTTTAAGTAAACTTTCCAGGTTTGGGATCAAAATAAAATCTGAAAAATTGGAAAAGTGGTTAATGAACAAAATGGTTAATACGGATATATTGTAAAATAAGCTCATTATTTTAGCCATATTTACAAAAAATATATAAATAATAGGTAAGATTGCCTTAACATATGACTTGGTTTGAGTGTAGGGTTAGGTTAAGGGGATAGAAGATGTATGTGTGTAACTATTATTTCTGAAGCTCTTAGTTAAAAACCTGTTCTCAAATGAAATGCTTTTGAAGTCAGAGCTTGGGGCTGAAATACAGTACATTCCTCCAGGACTTCCTCTTGCTCTCCATCTGTTCCTACTTGACTGTAAAATGAACCTTGAGAGAGTGTTGAGAAAACATTAGACAAGTGGGTACTATTAAAATCAGTGAAGAACTGATTCCATATTCATGCCTTGAGAGACAGTCAGTTTAATTCATTTATTTATGCTACAAAAATACAGAAATCATATCAATGAAAACTGAGAAACCTGATTTGTTCACTTTTAAAAGTAAATGTATTTAGTCATCATGAAATAATGTTCACTAACCATTTTAGTTCTGTAATTTAATTTGGCGTGCAATGACATATTCAGCAAGAAAAAGTTGTGGAACTTGATTTTATCCATAAAGAACTGATTGAATTGTTGAAAAAGTATAGGGATTCTTAACACCAGAAGAACTGGAAAGAAAAAAAGAAAAGTTGTTTCAAGCAAGTTATTAGATTTGTGATGAACGATTATAATTTTTTTTTTTCAGCTCCAGGAATAGTTAAGAAAGAAGATATTGAGATAATAAGTCGGTTTTGATTTATTTAAAATCATTTTGTGTACATAAAATACAATTTAAAATAGAATGCGGTATTTTCTGCTGTTGTTGCTGCTACTTGCTGTTATCAAGCAAATACAACTTCGCTTTATAGACATTTGCTGTTTCCCAATCACTGCTTCCCACAATGCACTTGATGAAATGTAAACAGAAATGTAATGAAACCTAAGCAGAAACATGTTGGTTTGAAGACAAAATGCAATCAGCCATCTGTCACTGAAAAACATCAAAGCTGATGAAGAAGAAAGAGAAAAAACATTTTTTTTGAGAAACCAAAGAGAAGTTTGGTTTTTTGCTGTTTCCCAATCACTGCTTCCCACAATGCACTCGATGAAATGTAAACAGAAATGTAATGAAACCTAAGCAGAAACATGTTGGTTTGAAGAAAAAATGCAACCTGAGATCTGTGAAAGAGCCAATCAGCCATCTGTCACTGAAAAACATCAAAGCTGATGAAGAAGAAAGAGAAAAAACATTTTTTTTGAGAAACCAAAGAGAAGTTTGGTTTTTGCTTTGTGTCCAGACGAGTATTAGGAAATGGGAGGTGGGAGGGAGATGTCAACACTCATTTTCTCTCGTCTCTATTTCTTTTGTTCCTGCTGTCTAGTTTTCACAGGTCAGCATGAGGTCACATGATGTTCCTGCAAGAAGGGACATGTTTTTCCTGACAAAGATGTTGCCTCAGGATTGTCTGCATGAATGTCAAACTATGAGCACTGCAGGACGCTAATTAGTTGCCTATTCGTCGTTGAATCAATTAATTCAGTCTTAAAGTGCAAGTTTTGGTAACACTTTATTTCGATAGTCCACTTTAGACATTCTATTAACAGTAAGTAACTTTGCAACTACATGTCAACTAGCAGTTAGTAGAGTATTAGTAGACTGTCTGCTTAATATCTTCTAACACTTTCTTTGTCAACTTATTGTACTAACCCTAAACCTACCCTAACAGTCTACTCTGAGAGTTAGTAGACATGTAGTTGCAAATTAATGAGAATTAG